GTCTAAATTGGTCACCTAAAAGTCACAACCTAAAAATTAATACTAACTATGAATGAAAAATTAAATAGCAATTCTAGACAATTAAGAAATACATATTTAAAACAAATTAAATTAAATTAAACCACACAGCAAGACAAAAAAAAAAAAAAAAAACTGACAACCAAATATAAACTACAGAAAGCAAAAGACAAAATGACTAACTTTTTAAAACAACCCACACGGTAAGACACAAAAGTGAATAAAACAAAATGAATAAAAAAAAAAGTAAACTAGAATAATAACTAAGATACCTAATAAACAAGTCAAAGCAGAACGTAAACGAAATTAAACTAATAAACAATGAAACTAACAAAAACGTTCAAAAAAAAAAAAACTTAAGTAATCAATCAGTAAAAACTAACTGACAACCAATTAGAGACACAAATGTATTTGACACACGACCAAGCAAATAGAACAAAGATGCTGTTATTATTATTATTGTTTTGAAACGTACTAAACAAAAAGATTAAGTATTTACCTCTTTGGCTAATTATTTACTGAATAATCTTGTTGATGTACCTCTCCGGTAACGGCACTAAAATTTGATTACGCCCAAACGTGTACAAAACAAAGCGGTCAATTGTAGCACAATTAGGACGGTCGATCCCACGAGAAAGTGACAAATCAAACAAGAAACGATTAACAAATAAAAAGCTTTAGGAGATAAATAATAAAGTAAAAATAAAAGAGAATGAAATTTTTGTTGAGAAGTTTAAGTGTAAGAAAAATATAGGAGAAAATTATATAATTAAAACTGGTAAGGCGTTGAGATTCCCCTATATGCTTCGTTCACCCGAATGGATTTTGATCTTTGAGATTACTCAAATGAAAGTTTCACATCCCAAACTAACAATCGAAAAATATATATTTGAAGAACATGTGAATTAAAATGTATTCGAGTGAGTAAAATTCTTACATTTAGTATTAGGAAAAATCATCTTAAGAGAAATCTAAGAGCGACAATATACCATGGGCAATATTGCAGTAAAATACTACTCATAAAATAATATCTATCAATATATAGTATCATGCAACAATCACATAAAAAGAGCTTGACTAGATTTATATAAAAGTTGACAATAAAATATATCAATATGAGAAATTAGAAGAAGATAGAAGAAAATTAATCACTCAAATATATAAACTTTGAAGAACAAATGAAGAATTAAAATCCACTCAAGATCACTTCACATATAAGTTTCTCTCTAAGCTCACCAAAGAGAAAAAGATGTCTAAACTTAGGCTAAAAATTAACCCCTAATACCTCTAACAAAGCTCCAATTTATAGAGTCTTTGAGGATATCAAAAAGCACTAAGCAAATAAACACAAATAAGGGGACATTTTACCCAAATAAATTAGATTTACAAGGCTTTAATCTGAGAGTGAATGCTGAAACATCCAACGGAACCAAAACGGATCGCTAGCTGAAGAATCCCAAACGGGTGGGACACGTGTCGCGCGAAGAGAGAAGAAACGTTGCTCTGCCTTGGACACGTGGCGCGCTGTGGGAGGAAAATGCTGCACGCGGGACCCACACATAAGAAGAGAGACGCTCGCGTGGAAGGAACTCACTCAGGGGGAAGGGCTGTGTGTGCCACACGCGCGTGCATGAGGGAGCATTTGGGTCCCATGCGACACCTGGCGGAACTCGGTTGGAGAGTTGCTGAACGGCAAGACCCACGCGGAAAAGAAAGTAGAACCGCCTGACGCGCGCGTGAGAAGAACTCGCCCGGGGAGGAGGGCCGTGCGCGCGTGTGTGCGGGGACAGCTGGGTCCCACGCGGCAGAAGCTACCAGAAAATGACACATGGCAGCGATGGGGCTTGCACGGCTCGGCTGGCGGACGGCTGCTGATGGGCTTCATTTTCTGTTTCTTTTATTTTTGGCCTAAATGTCTTATTTCTCTACAAAAAAAATTAAATTAAATTAAAATCAAATACTTCCACAAAATATTAATTCCACAAAAATATTTAATTAAAACTTAATTTATTTAGCAATTATGAACAATTTAAATGCATTTTCATGCACTTTTCAGTGGCTAAGATCTCTTCGCTGGTTGTCTTCCTCGATGGTCCTTTGGCCAGACGCCCTTCACTGGAGGTTTCTACCGACAGTGGTAAGAGATTTTTGTCTTTTTGTAACTTTTTTGTTTGTAATAAAGTTGGTCGTTTCCCTACTCAACTCTCGTCTGATTTGTTGTTTTTTATTAGATTTAGGTGTTCGGCTTAATGACGATAGGATGGTCTTGGTCCAGTTAGAATTTTTTCTATGCCGTGTAGATGTCCCCTTTTTATAGGTTTTGACGATCTGTTCCTCAAGCGCTCAACAACTTATGTTGAAGAAATGAGTTTTCTCCATCGAACTTTCAATCCGCTCATTGTTAGTGTGCCGAGGTGCTTTTCCGGTTTCGAGTCTCAAACATGCGTTTGTCCCTCTGATGGGTTAACATTATATCAAGACGGTTGTTTATTAGTGTTTTAATGAAATGCAATTTTTCCTTTAAAAAAAAGATCGGTTTTTCTAGAGTGAATGCAACCACACTTGACATATGACCATCATAAATTTGATATATGATGAGAGAGTAAAAAGTAGAAATTTTAGTGTTTAAAAATGGCACAAATCTTAAGCGCCTCTAGTAGGGAGCATTCCCCTAGCAAGGGAACGTGAAAGTTATACAGCTAAGGTGATTTGTTGAATTTGAAAGTTGGATCGCTAGCTCTTGTAGTTGGTTCCAATGTCGTTTTCCTTAAGTCTTTCCATATTCATCTTGGATATCTTGCAAGCATCACTGTCAGCGTGAGAAATTGAGTAAAAGATATTGGTATGATTAAGGTCATGTTTATTTCGCTGATTTGAGTTTAAAATTTGAATTTTACTACAATAAAAAGCTCTCACAAACAATCACATTTAACTTTTTTACTACAGTAAAAAATTCTCATATAAAGTCACATTTTAACTCAAATTAAAAACTCGAATCAGCGAATTAAACGGGCCCAATTGATGCATTTTCTCGTAAATTAGGAGAGTGGTATTTGGTAATATGCCTTGGCCTATTCGCGTCAAAAAAGATTTTAAGAAAAAGAAGGAAACAAAAAAAAAAGGAAAAATGTTCAAATCCAGACAAGTTAAAGAGAAAGGTAGATGGGTATCATGTCGAGCACTAACATATCATGAACTGAATGGACCATTTTATTATCTTATCAAAGAATAAAACCAAATGCATAAAGAAAAGAGGGAAAGAAATGGAGTCCAATGAATGTTTGGAAGGTGCCACGGACTTTTCCTCTTGTAACTATTGGAAGTTAATGGGTAGTTATTAAAACAAAAAAAAAATAAGCTTCATAACGTCCACAGTAACCGTTCAAAATCCTGGGCGCTTTACATTTTTTGAACCAATACTACCTAAATCGACTTTTCACCAACTAAACAAAAATCAAAATAGTGTTTTGACCCAAAAGGGACTTCACTATTATAATATTTACGTTGATTGTGAGTGGCAATAATTTTTTTTGATAAATATTTAGGAGTTTATAAAAATAAACCAGTAGTAATTTTTTATTTTTCAGCCGTATTATATGTATAAAATGTTATCTGTTATATATATATATTTTAAATATGATGTGATTTTGATTAGATTTAAATGTTAAAAACTTATACTACCGATAAGGAAGCCTATGAGAGAAGTCCCTACATATTTTCCATCTTTTATATTAAATAATTTTTTGTGGGACTTTTTCTGGTGTTTCCTCTTTTTTTATAACATTGATGTTCCATGCTTTTCAGCCGTTAAATTTATATCAAAATCTGTTTATTCTGCATATTTTTTCAATCTAATGTGATTTTGATTAAATCTAACGGTTGAAACAGTAAAAAATACCGATGTTTCTAAAAAAAAGAAAACGCCGTAGAAACTTTTTTTTTTTTTTTTGGTATTGCGTAGTAAATAAAATTTTGGTCTTCTCACAAATAACCTGAGCCTTGTATGTCCTTTCTTTCAACGACTTTAAAGTTTGATTTGTATCAATATGGACATTTAACCATAATGTCGACTTCACTGGGAAAAAAAAAAGAGGTCTTTTTTAAAAATATTTTTCTATTCACATCATCCTGAGGTTATTGAAAGGAAAGGTGTTCCTCAACAAAAAAGAAAGGAAGAAAGTATGAAAAATAAATTTTCTCAAAGGCAAATCCTAGCAGAGTTGTGAGTCCTCCCTCTAAAGATCAGGGGAAAAAACTAATAATAATAAATAATATAATAATATTAACAACAACAAAATAGCAATATCAATTCTCAATGTGCCATCATGTTTTGATTTTAGTTTTTTTTTTTTTTTTTGGCTTGATTCATTTCTGTTAAATAGAAAGAAAAGAAAAGCAAAGAGGAAAACAAAAAAAAACAAAAAAAAAACCTTTAGTCGTACTAACAGTAAACCCAACTAGAGAACCCGGAAAAATTTTAAAACTAAATTTAAACCTGAAAGAAAGTGGCATGTTTTGATTTTATTTTTTTTTTTTTTTGGCTTGATTCATTTCTGTTAAATAGAAAGAAAAGAAAAGCAAAGAGGAAAACAAAAAAAAACAAAAAAAAAAACCTTTAGTCGTACTAACAGTAAACCCAACTAGAGAACCCGGAAAAATTTTAAAACTAAATTTAAACCTGAACGAAAGTGGCAAATTAGGAAAATGCGTAAATGCAACTCCCGGAAACATGATTCGCCCTCCACCAAAATGGCAATTCCGCGTTGATAAGAGTCGGAGATTATTAATTCATGAGATTTATAAACAAATAAAAAGAGAATCAATTCCCACTTTTTTTTATTTTTTATTTTTTATTTGTTGTCAACAGGGGTGAATCGATGTCCAACTATCCCCATTCTTTGTGGACCTCACCAAAACAATCTCCCTGTCAAACAGAGCCTCAATTAACCAAACCATTCTTTTCTATTTTTCCTTTTTTTTTCCAGTCAAAGAAGCTCTAAAGTAATTATCAAAAAAAAAAAAAAACGAAAACACAACACACTCCCCTTTGAATTCTTATCAAACCCAAACCCACGAAAAAGAAGAAATCTCATGCAAGCAAAGCTAATTGTTTGCCAAAGAAACAAAAGTCAATGGCCTCTCTCTCTCTCCCACTTTCTCTCTCTAAACAAGACAGTTCATTGAGAGAGCTTTAGATTTTTTTTTTTTTTTTTTGGTTCGTTCCTTCATTCACGAAAAATCCCTTTCCATATCTCGCCATGAAAGGCTCAGCCACTACCATATTCGCATCACTGCTCGTGCTGTTCGCGAGCTTGGGGTTTTGTTCCGGTGTGGCCGAGGACGACGTCAAATGTTTACGGGGAATCAAGCAGTCGCTGCGGGACCCACAAGGGAAGCTCGATTCATGGGACTTCTCGAACACCTCCGTCGGAGTCATCTGCAAGTTCGTCGGCGTCTCCTGCTGGAACGACCGCGAGAACCGGATCCTCAACCTCGAGCTCCGTGACATGAAGCTGGCGGGATCGGTCCCCCAGGCTCTGGAATACTGTGGAAGCCTCCAGAAGCTCGATTTCGCCGGCAACGACCTCTCAGGTACGATCCCTTCCCAGATCTGCACCTGGTTACCCTTTGTCGTTGACTTGGATTTGTCAAGCAACAAGTTTTCGGGTCCAATACCGCCGGAATTAGGAAACTGTCAGTATCTCAACAACCTTGTTCTTTCCGACAACCGTCTCTCCGGCACGATTCCGTATGAGATCGGTAGCTTGAGCAGGCTGAAGATATTCTCCGTCGCTGATAATCAGCTCACAGGGACGGTCCCGTCGTCTCTGAGCCACTTCGAGAAGGAGGATTTTACCGGCAACAGTGGGCTCTGCGGGAAGCCGTTGGGGAGCTGCGGTGGTTTGAGCAAGAAAAATCTGGCCATAATTATTGCTGCTGGAGTGTTCGGCGCCGCGGCTTCGCTCCTGTTGGCTTTCGGGTTGTGGTGGTGGTACCATGTGAGGTTGAGTAAGAGGAGGAAGAGAGGATTTGGGGTTGGGAGAGATGGGGATTGGGCTGAGAGATTGAGGGCTCACAAGTTGACGCAAGTTTCTTTGTTTCAGAAACCGCTTGTTAAGGTCAAACTGGCGGATTTAATGGCGGCTACGAATAATTTTAGTCCTGAGAATGTGATTGTTTCGACGAGGACTGGGACTACTTACAAGGCTGATCTGCCTGATGGGTCGGCTTTGGCGATTAAAAGGCTTAGTACTTGTAAGCTTGGGGAGAAGCAGTTTAGGCTGGAGATGAACCGGTTGGGGCTGATTAGGCATCCGAATTTGACACCCCTTTTGGGATTTTGTGTGGTGGATGAAGAGAAGCTTTTGGTTTATAAGCACTTGTCTAATGGGACTTTGAATTCCTTGTTACATGGGAGTAATGGTGGTGATTTGGATTGGCCTACTAGGTTCAGGATTGGTCTTGGAGCTGCTAGGGGTTTGGCTTGGCTTCACCATGGGTGTCACCCTCCAATTATTCATCAGAATATATGTTCTAGTGTGATATTGATTGATGAGGACTTTGATGCTCGGATAATGGATTTTGGATTGGCAAGGCTTATGACTTCTGATTCACACGAGAGTAGTTTTGTTAACGGGGATTTGGGAGAGCTCGGTTATGTGGCTCCTGAGTATCCGAGCACTCTAGTTGCTTCGCTGAAAGGGGATGCTTATGGTGTTGGGGTGGTGCTTCTGGAGCTGGTGACGGGGCAAAAGCCGCTTGAGGTGAGCACTGGCGATGAGGGTTTTAAGGGGAAATTGGTGGACTGGGTTAATCACCTATCTAACACTGGTCGAATGAAGGATGTTATCGATAAGTCACTACTTGGGAAAGGACATGAAGAGGAGATTTTGCAGTTCCTGAAGGTTGCTTGTAATTGTGTGGTTTCTCGCCCGAAAGAGCGGTGGTCGATGTACCAAGTATACCAATCATTGAAGGGTATGAACAACGATCGCGGCTTCTCCGAACAGGATGATGAATTCCCACTTGTATTTGCCAAGCAAGAAGTTTAAATGTGGCCTTAGAGCAGCGAAGATGGGATAAGAATGCACATGGCTAAAAAGATATTCATCTTGAGGTAAGTTCTCAAAAGGCTCTTTATGTAAATGGCTTTATATCCGTTTTAGCTGATTTTCCCAATTGTTAGTCTAGCTGTATAATACAATAAACTATCTGAACGATGGGGTTCTGTGGCAAAGAAATTATTGTTTGCCCTTTATTATATGAAATACATTGTACTATGAGGCTCCTTAATGTTTGTAATATGCGTCTTCTTGTTTAGCTTTAGAAGTTTTGCCACTAGAAGAGGACGAATGAAAATTTTAACATAATACAAGATTTAGTTGGTGAACAGAACAATCTTCTGCATCACAGGGGCCTTGTATCCCAAGTGAATCCTAGTAGCATTTCACTTCCACACAAGAAAATATATTCAAAGAAAAATTGCTTATAAGAGAGTGTTTTACCTTATCTGCTCATAGGGCCAAGGGGCATTGAGCTTAACTAGCTGTTAGGTTCCTTTGCTGATCATTTCAATCAGTATTCTTGATCAATTTGTAGCTATATTGGCATTAAAAAAAAAAAAAGAGGTGGCCGTGGATCAATTATGTGATGCTTTAGGCTTCTGATGCCCTTTATGTGGCTGAGCTAAAAGCTTATTGATGCTCGTTATTGCATCATTGGCTTTTGGTTTGTTTGTTTTTTGTTTTTTTTTTTTTTTTTTTTAATAAAGAACAGCACAACTAGGCTGTTAGAGTTATATAGATGTTATTTCTGTCTGTGAATGTGTAATCCTATTTCTTATTGTTATCTCTACAGCGGACAGAAATCGGTTTGCAAATATGTTTAAACGTCCATTTATGTTTTACTTGAGGAAAATGTCTATGTTGTGGTGTTCTCTCATATATGAGATAACCATTTCTTCTGAAACGTCGGTCCCAGATCGCTTGAATTTAAACATCTATATGGTTTATTTTATTTATTTACTTGTCTATTTTGGAGGAAAGAAATGAGGAAGTTACCGTTAGTTCACATTGAAACAACAGTAAAGAAGGTAATTCCCGTCATTTTCCTTATATATGGTCCTATGAAGAATGGCCGAACATGCATTCATAGAAATGTCAAGGTTGAATGCGGTATGGACTTTCACAATCGAGTTGTGATAGATAGTCTATGCTACAACTTGTATACAGTCGATGAAGAAAAAATTATGATGGCAACACTTTTTTCTTTTTTGTTTGCTTAAATATGATGGTAACGCTAACACTTGTCAACGAAAATTACTATAATCTGAGACCTACCCATTTTAGACGACAATGAAGACTAGAAGAGAGAAGATAAGTTTGACCATATGTGTTTACCATTAGGTTGCGTGTATAATCTGGTCTCTACAGCTTTGACTAAAAAATTCCATTCTCATGCCAAAATCAGGAAAATCCAGACAGAGCTTGCCAATAGGTAAAGAAGTTAAAAACCAGAGTTGAGATAACAGTCCACAAGTAATGTTAGTTTATAATTATTGGATCTGATTAAAACCACATTAGATTAAAAATGTATGCTAAATAGACGGGTTTTTTTTTTTTTTTTTTTTATAGATTTGACTGTTTAAAGTAAAAAACTATTGACAATATTTTTTCTATTTTTAAAAATGTTATAGTTTTTTCGTTTTAATTCTGATTGAGATGATTTTTTTTTCTATGCGTTGACAACGAAAAGACGAATAAAACTCCACTCATATACCTTATTAAAATTTTACATCACCATTGAGTTTTGATTAAAATACTATCTAAATACAAATTCAAGTTTTGACTCACTCAAACACAAATTTAAAAAGATTTTTATCTCAAATCATAACTTAAATGTACACAATTAAACACAAATTCAAGTTATAATTTTAACTCAAATTATAATTTAAATTTAAAGATTTACATTCAAGTCATCATAATTCAAAAATGTACCTCAATAAGCCCTTAGTGTGCCAATTAAATGTGGGGTTAGTATAGATGACGTGCGTAGGATTTTGTTGATCTCCTGTGTCCTCACGTCACAATTTGAAGTTAAAGTTGAAGTTGTACCTCTTCTTTCTAGTGGAAACGGCAGAATTAAACAGTACTGGCCGTGAAACAGCATGCGCACGCTTGTATGCAAGGCTTATATTTATGTATCTATGTGCGGTGTGTGTAATATTGTCTTGTTCACTTCGCGGATTTAAATTTTTAATTCGAGTTGAGATGTAACATTTTTTGAAAATTTTTTACTGTAACAAAAAAAGTTAGATGTGATATTTTTTAAAAATTTTTTACTGTAAAAATTTAAAACTGAAAACTTAAATTAGTGAAATAAACGAGATTTTTATTTTTCTTTAATCGTCTTTTGAGGTCAATTGGTACTATGAAAGGAAAGGAAACGCGTTCGGGCCATAAAGCCAACCCCTATAAGCCACTAAGCACTGTTTCTAGTGGTTACTGGGTTCAGTCGCTAAACGCTGTTACTAGTGTATTATGTGTTTTTATTTTATTATATTTGTGTTATTTCTTCACCATAGTGTTACCCCATCATTGAGTGGGAAGGACATTATTTCTGTATTGAAAAGCACAATTTAGCATTGTCCTTCCCGCCAAAATCTTGCTCTAATTATCTAAAATTCCCCTACATAGATATCAAAGGTTATCCATACCATAAGAGCTATACTTTTTTTTTTTTTAGTAGACCATAAGAACTATAGTTGTGTAAGAGGGGAGTGTGTGTGTGAGAGAGTTTTTTGTTTAGCTATACTTTTTTTTTTTTTTTAGTAGACCATAAGAACTATAGTTGTGTAAGAGGGGAGTGTGTGTGTGAGAGAGTTTTTTGTTTTTTTTTTTCCTCCCAGTGATTGCCAATTACGTCACAAAAAAAAGTCATAATCTGGCATCACACAAATGTTGTAAAAAAAAAAAAAAAAAAAAAAAAATCTAACGATGAATTTTCTCGTTAATTTTGTTTATTTGAGTAATTAACCTGAATTACGATCAAGGATGAAAAATTGAATCTTTAGTTTTCTTTTTTCTTTTTTTTTTTTTTTTTTTTGGTTAACACTCATCAATTTTTTTATAAGATTTCTTGTGCAGTTTTTTTTTTTGGGCTAATTCGCACCAAATCTGATCCATCCGCTGGAAATGCATACAAAAGGGCTACCGGCTACACACACACACATACACACAGTCCAGTATACGAACTACTCTGGCACAAGGTGCAAATTTTAAGGGCGTCTGTTTCCTCTTTATACTTCTTTCCCTTGGCATTCCAGATCAGTACCAAAAAATCGTTGGGACATCTACAGTTTTGTTTTTGTTTTTGTTTTGTTTTTTTGTTTTGTTTTTGTTTTGGGTGCTCTGTGGGGCTTCTACAGTTTTAATCTTTATTACTTCCCACATTTTGTACTTGAGAGCCCAAAAGGTTCTGTGGCATGCTTAGCACAAGCTTGGCCCATGGCCAGATGGCCTTGCCTAAAAGTGCCCCTGTGCGTGTGTCGCATGCATATCTAAGAGTCTTCAGTACATGAGATTCTCAAACTCAGGCGCACTTTTGCACTCATTAAAGTCTTCAAGGTGGATTTGAGCATTATCAACACAAAATCAGAGCAATATAATCCTTTGAACATAAAACAGATTTAAACTGTCTGTCTTGAATGCCAGTGACCAGACTTTCATGTATTGGCCCAAGTGCGACTCTTAATCCGTATCAGTATGGCTTATTAGAGCCTCAGGAAAAGAAAAAAAAGAAATCAAGGGTGAAAACTTGTACTTGTTTTGAATGGAATTGCACGGGTTGAGAATCTTTCTTTTCTCTATGGAACAAAAAGGGGGGCCATAGTTTTTGAATCTCACACTTAATTTGGACCGAGTCTTATTCATTCTCGAACCAATCAAAATCAAATCACTAATCAGTAAAAGGAACCAAACAAAAAAGAAAAAAGAGACAAAAACAAAAGCAAAAGAAAAAGCAATGGCCAGGGATCATCCTTTGGTTCCTTTCCTTTACTTTTGTTTTCACTTTGGACTGATTTTTAATGATATTCACCATTTTATTTTTGGATTGAGTTCATTTTTCACTGCAAAGCGATATGTGACATGTTTAAATTAACTTTCAGGACTTCTATGTTTCAGACCAAATAAAGCCACCATTCACGCAAGGAATTTGTAGGGCAAGATTTGTATTTTGCATTTGTGTTTTATTTTTCCTCGGGATGTATCGAAATACCTCTCTTAAAGCCCTCCCAAAACCCTCGGTGCCACGAGACCAAACGGTCTCAGGCAAAGGGCAAGTTTCCTGTTCTTTCCTAAATGGAAAATCCAATAAATTTCTAATCCAATAAATTTTTTTATCCAACAATGGAAAGAGAAAAAGAAAAACTTGAATGTTATTTTCTAAAACCTTCTTTAATAAGAAAGTGCAATTATTGGGGAAACTTTCCTGTTAAACGAGACACCAATCAAGGCAATTTTGTTATCGGTAAAAGAGCGCCTTTAATTTGATACTTTAGTTGGAAGCACGAGCAGCAAAATAAAAGCCACTTAAATTTGAAAAAAATAAAAATAAAAAACAAAAAGAAAGCCAAATAATTTAGAAAGCAAAAAAGAGAGAGACAACAAAATGATTCATATACATGTAACAAGCTTACACCGTCTAGGCTTGATCCTTTCTTGGGTAGTGGTAAAAATTTACTTATAGTATCTACTTTGTCTGTTTTTTCCCTTACAAAAGCAAAATCCTTATCCATGAAATCTGTCTCCAAAGCATATTTAAGAGACAAGGCAAATACCAAAAGCGGGGATATCTCCATTCTCCACCCCAAAAGTTTCATCTTTTCTCAAGGCTCTTTTTGAACGTCTCTCTCTCTCTCTCTCTCTCTCTCTCTCTCTCTTTCTCTCGGTCATTTACAATGAGTTTAGTTTCTTAACAATCTGCAGATCTTAGAGAATATGTTTTTAAAAGAAAAAGTACTGAGCTTAACCTTCAATCAATAAATAATCACTCCACAAAAAAGCCTAAATCCTAAAACTACTACTCTCACAATACATTACTACTAACTCATGCATAAATTGCATGTTTTTATAGGCAATGAAAGTTCTTTTGTTGCATTCAGAGCCCAAGTGAACAATCCTTTATAAAGTGGAAAAACATCCCAGTTTCCATTCTTCTAATAGTGACTGATTTGTGGACCAAAAACAAAAAAAAAAAAAAAACCTGTGCCTGCCAGCCACACAATTTTTTCATGCTTCAACAAGTGCCGGATAAAAACACATTTTCAGGCACCAGGTGGTTGTCTAGTCTTCACTGCCTTTCTGCACAACAACACATGAAATCAGGTCCATATTAAGAGAACTGTGGGAGGAAATTATAAAAACAAAAAAAAAAACTTTGGTGGGGTTATCTTATACTATTTTTGGGGTGGCTTATTTATGCATGGTGAAATGAGCTATATATACATAAATATATATATATATATATATTTAATGGTGTCGATAACCAGAAAAGAGCAGAGTTTGCAATACATGTTTCTTTTCCATAAATAAAGTTGTGTTCAATTCTCCCTTCCAAGGTCTTATTTTTGTGTGTATCAAAATAAGAGAAAGTTTGATGACATAAAGAAGCTTTTTATAAAGAATTCTTTATGTTTCATAACTAATTGGATAGTAAGGGGGCATTGGGAGGAGCAGTTTTAAGTTTTGTGCTTCTTACTCTCTCTTTAGTGTTTAAAAATGGGGCAATAATAGCCATACTAACGCAGTGGCAAAAAAAAAAAAAAAAAACATTTTTTATCCATTTAGAACAAGATTCATGAATAGAAGTGTGGCCTCGTTCACTTCGCGGATTCGAGTTTTTAATTCGAATAGAGATGTGATATTTTCTGAGAGCTTTTCACTGTAGCAGAAAAAGTTAGATGTGATATTTTCTGAGAGCTTTTTTCTGTAAAAACTTAAACTGAAAATTCGAATCGGTGAAATGAACGAGATATATGAAATCCATTGTCACGTCTGATAACCAAATTGAGAGTGAAGAAAAATGAAACCGAAATTAAAAGATCAAACATTTTGTCCCCTAATTAAAAAATGCAAGCCCTTCTAGAATAAAAAGGAAAAAAGAAACTTGGGAAAATACACAGAATCATCCTATATTTGCTAAAATAAACATATACTATCACTACTGACAAATATACTCGTAATTAAGAAACAAAATGTACCTGTTGTGAATGGGATCAGGCCCATTAGGCACTCGTCTCTTGCTCACGTAACGGAAGAAATTGGAGTTCCCGTGAAGAAAATCTCTCTCTCTTCCATTCCACTTCCAATGCTTCAATCGCAACCTTTCCGTTGATGTAGCAACTTTTAAGGTGACAGTCTTCGCGGCGTGATCGGCAATAATTCCGGCGAAGAGAAACCAGAAGGCAACAAGAAACAGAAGAGCTCCGACAAAAAACCTCAAGACCTTGCTTCTACTACCTCTTTCCCTCTTTTTGTCCATAGTTATCATGAGTACTTACTCATTCAAACGACAGCGTTGGCCATTGAAAAACAAGAGATATAATTGTCAGGACAGCCAAACAGAAGAAGATAGAGAGGAAAATCTAATACCGTACTAGGAAAAAGATTTATGGGGTCTTTAACTTGGCGGGTAAAGAGCAACTGGGATTCTATTAAAAGGCTAAAATCAGACAAGTGGATATCCTCTGCGTTTGTGAGACTCAGAGGAAAAGATAAAGAGAGAGAGAGGGGAATAAGGCTAAGTACCAGTAAAAGTAAACATTTTATATATAGTTATCTTTGTTGGTAGTTTGAATTTATTTATATCAATTTTTAAACGAGAAAATCTCTTGATTTTAGAAAATTTGATAATTTTTTAATAATACGAAGCCTATTGATGATGCTTTCTGAAGACTTAATTTTTCTTCTCTTTTAATACGTGAATATAGACACATTATTAAATCACGTTAGAAAAAAAGACCGAGTCCTTAAAAAGTTGTAATTGCACTTAAACGATATGGGATTCGCGTTCTTTTATTCTTTACATGCCCCCACAAGATGATGCATGCTTTTGATGAACCGCTCATTTAAACTCATTAGCTCTAATACCACATACAAATTAGAGTTTTTAAGAACTTAATCTTTCATCGTAAAAAATGAACAACCCAATAACTTATAAATTGATTTTTGTTATTGTATTTAAAGATGTGGGACTTGGGTTTCTTTTATGAAAAAAGTACATAATAATATATTATAATCAGATCTATTATTTTTTCCATTTTAAATAACAAAATGTCATTTTTGTTTTTTTTTATTAATTAAATGATAATTATTTATTTTTTAATAAAATGATGTAAATAATATTCTTTTACTATTTTAAGTGGTATCTCTCGTCTTTGCCTTTATTTTATCCTTGACAGGTAAAACTGTATTATCTTCAGCTCATTCTATTTTCTTTTTTAATTTTTAGTACAAAAGAATTTATAATTTGCAGTCACTTTACTGTTGTTGTTTGATTTGATGATGGGTCCCATATTTCTCTTTGGTTTGTGGATTTCCATGCAGCAATAACAGAGACCTCTCCATAGTATACAAAAACACATAGAGCCCGCTGCTCAGACGTATAATAGTGACACAAGAGAGAAGAACCCACTTATTGTTGGACGCTTGGTTCCAAAAACTCACATGCCAAGGAGCTCTCACTCTCACAAATATGTACATTCTTGTTTCCTAATGAAATAAGGGAACATTTTGTGACGTAATTTGTTTTATTTTTATGTAAAAAAAGAGAAAAGAAAAGAAAAACGTGTGGAAGAAAATAGTGTAATGTTTTGTCTCTAGCCATACTTACCAAGTTTTCTTCCTTGGTAAGTACCTAACCTTAAGCTTCGGAAAACACAAGACTTCAAAATTACAAAAGAGAACAAAAAAAAAAAAAAAAAAGTAAGAATAATAATAATCTTATCCTACTTTGGCCATATTAAAAATTTGAAAGCAAAAGCACTAGATTTGGCATGTTTTCCGACCAGCATATTTTCAACTTGAACTGGTCCAAGCAAAACAGTTTCAAAGAGCATTGGTTTGTATTATATAGAATATCCCAAACGAGCTTCAAGAGAGACCCACTAATTAAAGGGGGGGAAAAGAGCTTCAAAGATAAAACTATCTACTATGCATCGGTAAGTTGTCGTTTTCATGGAATCATTTCTTAGTGAATAATTGTTTTTCTTGTCCCACCCCGCCCTTCAATTCTATAACTACAGTACATAAAGCGCATGGAATGTCACATAGAACATTCATAGAAAACCCTTTTCTATTCACATCATATTCTTTGCAAAGAGAATTTTATGATAGGGTATACAAAACTATTTCATTTATAACACCCAATTTTAAAGGTCCAACTTTCATCAAATTTTTGTTAAGTCGTAATATTTTTTTTTATGATAATTTTTCTGGTAGGGTTTTCATATCGATAGGCACTTTAAATCTGATCAAAATCACATCAAATTAAAAAAATATGTATAATAAACAGTTAATGATACAGATCTAACAATCGAATATAGAATTATCGTTAATTCATTTTTTTTGAAATCTTACTAGAAAAATTCTCTTTTTTTTTTATTTGATATGATTCTGGCATTATTTATGGTTCAAAATTATGTGCCACGCGAAAAGTTTTTTTTTCTTTTTGAAAAATTTGTTTTCTTAAAAAAAAAAAAAAAAAAAAAAAAAAATTGGCCCCGCGAAAAATTTTTTTTTTTTTTTTAAAAATTTTTTTTTTTAAAAAAAAAAAAAAAAAAAAAAAAAAGAACGATCACTGGCAAACTTTGAGCTAGTACCGTGTCCAACAAGAAATGAATCTGCAAGATGTAAATGCTTATTGTAGGATGCGTACGATACGGCGCACATGCAAAATTAATCTACTTGGCAAGATCAAAACAGTGCCATGTACTCCAGACCTCAGCCGCTAGATGATGATAAACAATGATATAAGGCATAAGCCATTGAAAAAACAGTTGTCAACTAAAAGCTGAAAACGAATTGGGATGTACGGTAACTCCATTCGAAAACAATTATGAGTTTTCTTTTTTTTTGGGTAATCGAAAACTACATGATTAGCAACTAAGGTATTATTATCAATAGTATTTGTTTATAGACGTTAAATTTGGTTAAAATAGTTAATCAAAATGAAAAATATATACAAATTAAAAGTAAAAAACTAATAAATTAGTATAGAAAAGAGTGTATTTACAACGGAGAATGTTATCTTGTTTAGAATTGTATTTTAAATGTTAGATTAAATTTTTAATAGTTTAATTTAGAATTATAGTGTGTTACGCTTTGTAAACTTTTAACGTAGATATATATTGATCTGACTATTAAAAAATTAATTTAACAATAAAAATAATAATAATTTTTACTGGTGGAATAAAATAGCCTTTTCCACCCAAAATATTTCTTAAAGAAAATCATATAGTTCGAAATAATAATCTTACCAAAAAAAGAACATCGAGAAGTTCTGGTGATAGTTGAATAATCTACAGTTTCAGAGTTATATCTTCCCAATCAAAACCAGCCCCATCAATTCCCGAATCATCGCCCTTGGCATTAAAAGAAAACGCTGTGAAAGTGACAGTTGGAGTGCCTTAGTACTGATTTTTGAGCTGTGTGGGACCCACAACGAAGCTTGCAAGTTTGCAACGTATAAAGGGCGTTTAGTATGCAATAATCTTAAGAATGAAAATGAGAATCTGTAATATTATCATATTTGGTACAAGAATTATAATTTTTAAATTCTTAAAAAGGTAATTACTATAGGATTCACTTTTTCTCATTTTAAGGTAATTTAAATACCACATATCATAGTGTTATTCAAATTCTCAAGAATCTCAAAATTATGAGAATCTTATTATTATTATTTTATTATTATTATTATGGATCTTCTTCCATGCGAACAACCAAACACAGTAATGTAATATTCCTGAGAATTTGAAAAAGATTCTTGTATGGAACCAAACACATTAATGTATTATTCTTATGAATCATATTACCTTCCATCACTTTCCTGTGAATATGATTCTTACTGATTCCCGCATACTAAACGCCCCAAAGTGAAGAACACGTACAGAAACAGAACTGAAAGTCAAGTTAATTATAGAAACTAACAATAACATTGTTGTTCTTGTTCTCTATATAACATCCGAATAATTAGGTCCGTTTATTTTACTGATTTAAATTTTATTATAGTAAAAAAATTTTAAAAATAATCATATTTAATTTTTTTATTACAATAAAAAATTCTCATATAAAATTATATCTCAACTTAAATTAAAAATTTAAATAAGTAAACTAAACGACCCTACATGTGTTATTAGCTTGATTAGTAAAAAAAAAATACATATATTATTAGCTGTATTTTAGCGTACTATTTCCCATCAGATCAATCAATCAATCTAGTTGATCACATCTCAGAGAATTTTCCTGTTTAAGAAATGCTAGACAAAAATTCCGCGCATACAGACTCTTCACAGTGAAAGAAATTCCCTGTATGTGTTTTAGCTGTTTGTTTCTTTTTTTGTTTTTTTTTAAATAAAAAAAAAGAGAGAGAAGTGCAAAATTATTCTTTACAAATAGTCATTTTTCTATTATTGACATCTTAATCATAATTATTCTTCTATCATAACAGATCGCTTTAGACAATATTGATTAAAAAAAAGAAAAGGGACAATATTGAACACATTAGACAATATTGATTTCGTGTTAATTTTTAAAGGTTAATTCTAGAAAAAAAAAATAATCCTTTTTTTTTTCCTTTACTTACGCGCAAAAATTAACTGCCTTTAGTAGGGCTGTTCATAAACCCGAACAACCCGTAAACCCAACCCACACCGCCCCAACCCAAGCTGAAAAAAGCAACTCGCATCATTATTTTTAAATTTGCAGCTCATTATACCTCTGGCCCGAAGTGTTTGGGGCGGATTGCGGGTTGGGCCCATAACAACCCGCAATCCCCAACCCAACCCGCACAACATACCCCCAAGCTTTCGGCCCAAGCCGAACTGCCCAAGTTCTACCCTAGGCTCGCTAACATTAGGGTTCACAATCTCATTCTTGGTCTCCTCTCCCGCGAACCCCTTCTTCTTGCCTCTTTCTTTTCAGTTTTCCCTCTTCTTCCCCTCCCGTGAACCCCCTCATAACTCTCTCCTCATTGCTCAGTCCTCTCGGCCGCCGTCTTGCCCACTTTCTCCGGTGCTCTCTCGCCGGACTGATAAGGATGGTTGCTATTTCTATTTAATGATGAAGTTTGAATATTATATTGAACTTTAAGTCTTTGATTTTTTGAATATTGAAACCGACCACCCAACCCACCCCGCACCGCCCCAACCCAACCCGAATATCGTTGGGTTGTGAAATTTTTCTCACATCGTTGGGGCCAAATATGTGCAACCCGCACCCTTTGGGACGGGAAAAAAAAAGTCATACCCCGCACCAACCCAACCCATGAACAGCCCTAGCCTTTAGATTCTTGTCTCAAAAATTAACTGCCCTATTAATGTTATAAAACGATACTGGTTAAGAGCTCAGTCCATCCTCTTTTTCTTCTTCTAACCTATAAATATACAAAGCTTTCTGTGGTTTTTCAGCATCCCATTAACTTAAATACCCTGTTACGCCTCAACTTTTACATGTTACACCTCAATCTTTAATATGTTACATGTGTAAAATCGGTCGTGTTAAAAAACAACTGTAAAAAAGCATAGGGGCTTTTTATTTTTTGTTTTTTTGTTGAGATATTCACTTGCAGGAATGGTCAATCTCTACTGCTCTAGGAATCCGTTGAACTTGACATCAACGTTGAATTAAATTGCGTAGCTGGAATTTTTTTATTTAAAAAATACTGAATGGATTAGTGCTTAACCAATAATTCACCCAAATTGCATCTTGATAACTTTTGGGGCCAAGCAAGAGAGAGAGAGAGAGAGAGAGAGATGTTTTGTCATTTAATTCTAAACTGATTTCTAATTGGAAGTAGAATAAAAATGATCATGCAATTTAAGGTAATGGGGAAAGCAAATTGCATGCATTTCTTGCCTACTCTACTTTATAAACGTTATTTCCCTCTTTCTTTTAAATGTGCATGCAAAGCATTGCAATTAGATGTTAATTCATCTTCTGACTCTCACATAATGGGAAAATCAAGTGGTGAAGAGAGGCCTCTACCCTGAAGAATTTGATGCAAAAATACTTGCACACCACATGGGATTGGGAATTGGACATTGGATAATTTGGATCCCAGGTCTGAATTTGGTCCTCCCTTCTCTTCAACTCATGGTTTATAGTGTTATATTTGTATAACATCAAAATTATACAATTATACAATTATATACACATATAACATATATTCTGACCCAATCACATTCTTTTAAAAAGAGCATTATGATTCTTAGGTAAACCATACATACTAAAAAAAAAAAAAAAAAAAAAAAAAAAAAAAAAAAAAAAAACCCCACAAGATCGCAATAAACATAACTGCCAAATTCAAGCAGGACTTCAGGGCTTTCATCTCCTCTATTCACTCGATTACCATGCTTTTATTCTATTTCCTTGCTAACTAGGAGTGTATATTTTGGTGAACGAGGCATCTACCAATAGCAAGAGATATTGACAGAAAAAGTATAAAAGAAAAATCTAAACATTGAAGAAAAAAAAAAAGCACCCAAAAATTATCCTTTAACCGAATAAAGGGAAAAAAAATAAACACTAAAAAGTCTAAAAAATTACTGAAAATGCCAAACAAAGAGAGTCTAAGAGAGGATGAGGCGGGCGGATCCCAGTTGCCCCTATCGGGTTTGGCCCGCCCTGCATTATTTATAGTTTCAATTACTACTAAGACTAAAGTAGTAGTAATAACCTTTTTAAGTAGTAGACATCACGTGTCACGTTCCCACGTGCTGAGAGCCACAAGAGACTCTCTTGTTGCCACTTCATCAACCTACTCACATGTGCGTTGGCTTATAAAATGCTACTCCACCTTATAAGTTTTCTATGTGGGACTTTAGTATCAGATTTTTTATATTCCAACATGTTGAAGATGTGGTAGACCTAAATTCCACGCAGACAAGCTCTGGAGATGAAAGAAAATTCCCTGTTTGAAACGTCGTGTTTCCGAATGATTTTTATCATATGTATGCACAAAACTGCCTTAATATTCAGACTTCAGATCCAATCGGATCCGATACTTGTTGCGTTAAAAGGCGTATCGTCCTTCCGACAGAACTCTTTAAGTCCACTGGCAACGCCCCAATATTATTATTTTAGAGAAACTCTGAAATTTTTATCATCTAAGGGCATTGCTTAAAGGACATGGGAAAGCTTTAAGTACAAAACTTTGAAATCACAACATATATATATATATTGCTAGAATTGTGGAATTGGTCCAAATTCAAGGTTGATCAACGATAGAAGGTTTTGAGGGAGGCATCATCACATGCTTGCTACCTTACATCAAAGTGTAAATTGGTGAATTAAATTGGCAGCCAAAAAAAAAACTAAATAAATAATAAAAAGATGGTGATTTTTCACCTTATTATCTACATTTTTTTACAGACGATGGGAAATTGGATTAAACTTTTTTTTTTTTTTTTTTTTGTAATAGTTTATGGTATCAGCTGTAAGAACTGGCATTGTTTTTGGACAATTTGTTTTCTCAATTAAAATACTTTCTTATTTATTTCTTTCATAAACTTAGATATTATGTTTGATGAAATGAGGCGTTTCTTGGTATGGGGTGGCCTAGACTTGACAACATGCATCGTCTCACAGGAAACTCATCCATATAGCTGTAATTTTGAGGGGGGAAAAAAACAAAAAAGAAAGGCCTAGTTCTTAATTAACCAAATAATTCACTCAAGTTGCACCTCAATATGAATTGCTTTGGGAGCCAAGCATATGAGAGAGAGAGAGAGAGGGAAATCACTATTTTGTGATGTCATGCTAAACCGTTTTCTAAGAAGATGAAGGAAAATAATCATGCAATTCTAGTTAATGGAGAGCCAAATTTCATGCTCTTCTTGCCTCTTTACTTTGTAAAGGTTCTCTTCCTCTTTTTTAAAATCTTACATGCAAAGCTTTTGGAGTTGCATCACCGAATACATAATTCACCTTAACATTTCATCATTTTCTCTCTCACTCCATTCCCCTACAATGGGAAGACCGCCTTGTTGTGATAAATCCAATGTGAAGAGAGGCCTATGGACTGCAGAAGAGGATGCAAGACTACTTGCGCATGTATCCAAGCATGGGTTTGGGAATTGGACATCCGTTCCCATGAAAGCAGGTCTCTCTAGTTTATGTCATGGCCTATAGTAATTTTTTCCTTTTAATGTTACTTCTAAATCAACATTTGCATATATATATATATATATGTGTGTGTGTATATCTAGTTATAATATATCAACTGAATTTTGCAATGAGTTTGTCCGCAGGACTCAATAGATGCGGGAAGAGTTGCAGGCTGAGGTGGACTAATTACCTCAGGCCTGACCTCAACCATAATGACTTCACTCCTCAAGAAGAAGAGCACATTATTAACCTCCACCAAGCTATAGGAAGCAGGTTCAATAGCAACATTTTTTTTTTTTTTTTTTGCCTGTTTAAAAGCGTTTTCGAAATGGTTTTGTTTTAAGTATGAACTTTGAACCAAAGCCATGCCCACAAATTATTAGTCCTTGAAAAGATCATAACAACATAAATTATCTTTCACTTTCATACCACTTTTCATGTACTGCAGGTGGTCTCTCATTGCAAAGCAGCTACCTGGAAGAACAGACAATGATGTCAAGAACTACTGGAACACCAAGCTGAGGAAGAAGCTTTCCAAGATGGGAATTGACCCTATAACTCACAAGCCTATTTCTCAGATCCTTTCAGAATATGGAAACATAAGCGGCCTTGTGAATTCTGGACGCCTGCATATTGCCTCTCGGAACACGGACAACGTATTTGTTCCGAAGTCAGAGCCATCATCTATCATCACAGGTTTTCTTCCACCTACCAATATGATCACAAGGCCTGCAATTGAGCAAGTCCCGGATTACGACTCTTTCTCTAGTTATAACCCTTCATTGGACTTCTTGAGTAAGTCCCAAGTAATCAATCATGACATTGTCCAACCACACTTTTTCAATGAAGTAACCTCCTCTTGCTCATCATCATCATCTTCTTCTCATGTCTCTGACTTAATTAGCTCGCCACAATCTCTCTCTTGCCAACAATCTCAAGCCCAAATATTCACACATTCATCATCATCATCTTCTTCTTCTTCCCTTAATTGGAGCGAGTTTTTTCTCAAGCTCGAGGAAGAAACACAGGAAGGAGAACAAGAGGGTGACTTGCAGGGTCTCGTGTCATCAACAAACGCCGTGATTTTATCACAAAGTGAAACTCCAGCACAGAAGTTTAGAAGTGATCAATACAGTGCAAACAGAACGGTAGATGAGGAACTTGGTTCTCATAGTATGTCTGATTTTGAATCCACAATTTTTGGAAGTCAAGTGAGCAACAAGACGGAAAATTCCTCCGCGGATTCATTCTTGGACACTCTCTTGGATCGAGACAGCAAATTGACGGCGGCCTTCCCTGAATTGTTGGACGGATCTTTTGGGTATTACTGCGCGTACTTGGACGACAGACACTTTCCAGCCTAGTAGAATTACGTAGAGTAGCTTGCTTCATAAAAACACTCCTACTTACAATTACTAGTTATTAGTCACAGGAAAAACAATAATTGCAATTGGCTTTATATCTTGTATCACAAGCAAGGCCAAAATGGTGACGGTAACGATGCATGAAGATTATTAGATTTTATGACTTTGGTAACTTCTCTTTAGTTTAAGTGCTATTGAACTCTGAATTTGGATGTTATCCTTGAAAAAATAGAATTAAAAAATGTAATTGGAGGTTAGGAATAATGGGATTCGTAAACGTTAGTATTTTAATTTTCTTAGTGAACCAAATTGGCAAGAAATATTTCTAATTGAGATGGAAACTTTTTTTTATTATATATAAATATACATGTAATATATATATATATATATATATATGGTGGATCCAAACAAATGGTTATCCTTATAGAAGCAAAGGATGAGAGAAGAACCGTAAAACTATGATGACATATATATTATTACCAACAAACTGATCCTATATTCTAGCTTCTAATGATAGGAATCCTGATATCCAAATCTAACGGCTAGGAACAAAAAAACCTTTTATTTTTATTTTCTTTATGCTTTGAAGATGAAATTAATAAATCAAAAGCTTCAGTCACAATGAAACCTGCCTCTACAGTTTCATTCAATCAATGAATCTCCTCCACTTATTATCAGATTTATATGTTAACTAAATAATCAATTCAAAACCAAAAAGTCTTTTTTCCTTTAACAAACTGTGTGGCAAAGACCCACCACAGGCTCAGAAAGAACAATGCAACTTCAAAAACCAAAAAAGCCGTTCTGTTAGTTAGAATCAAGAGTTAAAAAAGAAGTGAGAGAAAACCTTAAAAAAAGAACACAAAACAAGAAGAAACAGAGAAGAATAATTCATTGATTAATATTGATGACTACATTGCAAAGATCGTCCGTTTCTTTTAGAAGACAGGGCTCGTCGGGTCGCACTTGGAACGATCGCCTTCAATTTCAGGCGTTAGAGTCTAAGACCTCTCATTCTACGTTCCTCCGAAACAAAAGAGAAGAGGAACCTCTCACAAATCTTCAGAGAAACCAAGAACGCAATTTCAACGAATCGAAGATGGTTAGTTCTCGATCGATCAGCTCCTCGTCACATTCTAATGATGATCAAAAGGTCCAGAGATGTTTTCTCTCCCTTCTCTTTCGGCGATGCATGGGGTCTCCTACAGCTTGATTTAAATCTTTCCCATCATATTCTCCATTTGTAAAGTTCCATTTTCTCCTATCTCTTTAGCTTTTTTATTGCGAGAAATCCGAATGCGTGAATTTCAAATTGATGAATTTACATTATTAGTAGCATTTGAGTGCCTCAGAAAAACCAAAGTTCAGAGGTGCGTAATTCTGATTTAGATATATTTGGCTTTGAGCTATCTAGTTCATGCTCTCTTTTGCATATTCTCAACCGTTTTCAATGACTCCTAATTCAAATCCAACGCCCATAAGTTTGATGATTATATCATTCCGACCATGTGAAATTACTTTCCCAAAAAAATTCATGAGAATTGTATTGCGTTATGGGACTTTTTCATTGGTTTGTACTTGGCCTCTTTGGTTATTATAATTGCGTCATAACTATCTTTGAACTCAGCCATCTTTCAAAAGCCAAGGATTACCTGGATTAACATGTCATTCCTAGTAAGGATATCATTCAATAAAGCCACTTTATGCAATTGAATGGGGTTATCGGATTGTGCAACATTTTTCTTTTTAGTATTATGTTAAACTTCTAATGTCGTAGTTCAGATAAAAATACGATTTTCATATGAGAAAAGAAAATGGGATAGATATAAGATTAAGACGTGAAGTTTTTTTCCTCCTTGCTGGTCCCGGCCTTCTTTTTTAGGAAGGAGCTATGCCTCTGGCAATGTACATTACGCATTTACTTTGGTGAGACTTGGTCCAAGGTCTCATTTTCCAATAAATAAGCTCGAGCCAAGCCTATTCTCTTTCTTCAGTGTTGGTTATTTAGTCCGTTAAAGCACAATGCGCCAGACATAAAGCAATAGAGAGGAGACCAAGTAAAACCATAACAGTCCAATGCGGCACAGGAATTGTCAAAACCTCAATATTTTTTAATGACTTTTTGCAAGAGGAAGAATTACAACTCAAATTTTTCGCTTCAATATTTTCTCTAAAAAAAAAAAATTTAAATTTAACTTTTATGCTATAATATATTCTCTCGCATAAGTCACTCTTCAATAACTTGCAACTCGAGTTCTGAACTTGTAAGTCACAAGAGAGACGTGCATAAAAATTCCCGACTCTATAAAGCACACTTCTCTTTCAACCCAAACGAAGATCACATTACAAGAAATGATCACAAACCATTTTAATGGTTTGAACTATTTCTTTTCTCGTTGGCTGCATCACTTATGGAGAAATCACGAGCATCATTTTGCTGAATTCTGATGACAAACAGAAACCTTCTTGTTTCTTATTTCACTTAATTTGGTTGTCATAACTGTACATTCGGATATTATGTACAAATGAATTTAAAAATACGATAAAATTGTACGGGCATAAAAAAATGGCTGCCAACATACAACCGAGGCACCATATAGGCTTAACAAGGCATCTTGTTTTTTCTCTTTATGGGGGAAAAAAAAGTTTCAAAAAATTTTGAAGGTGATATAAACAGTTCTTCATAGATTGAAGAACCTCCCAGGAACAAGCAATTACTGGATTACTATGGCTCAACGACTCAAAATCCCAGTTGATGATGGTTAGTATAGTCTATCTCGTTCAGGCGTACACAGCACAACATATGCTCAGGTAGATCCTCTGCCTTGTTCCCCTATTTCAAAAGCACAAACATTATCAGATGTGGATCTCAAGGATGTCACGCAATGCTTCGGTGCCTGAATTGAAAAGTAGTCGTATACATTACCTGAATCGTTAGACCGAAGTCCAATATGGATAGCTTCAATCTGTCATGGAATGCCTCGAACCCTTTTCTCGAAATGTAGCTGAACCGGTGTATATCCAGATCGATCTCGAAGTAGTTTTCTCCCTGCAGGAAAATGAAAAAGCGTCCGAGTGAGATTATACCATCTCATTTCTCTCTCTATTTCTTTAGTGTTTGAGTTAGATTGAACTATCAAGTGTTTGAAAAAAAAAAAAAAAAAAAAAAAAAAAAAAAAAAAAAAATCCTTCTTACCAAGTAAAACTCGTGTTGAGGGCGCGAAAGAATGGGTTTTTCGTTGTAAGCATTCATTAGCTTCTTCTCAGCTGTACTTAAATGAAGGTCCTCCAAATTTGCCGCTCGGCCCAGGATTTTCAATCTTTCTCTAAAGGGTGCAATGGTATCAACAGGAAAACCTCTAACTCTTTCCACTTCATCATTGATTAATCTCTGTCAAGGAAGAAAGCATGTAATACCCTCAGCAAACTGACATATACCGATATCTTAAACACAAAAACAGGTTGTAAAGATACCATAAGAAAAAGAATACAGCAAAAATAGGAATAGACAACCATGGTTTCATCTTACGTTGATATTATCTCGTAAATTAGGTGGAAGATCTTTGGAATAACCTTCAGAAACATTAAAGTACATAACCAAACTCATTCCTTCTCCATCATTTTCTCCTTGAAATATAGAGGAAGAATATAATGGCACCTGCAGTTTAGAATGACATCTTTAAGCATTAAAAAAAGTCTAGAGAACTAAAGAAATCTGGTTCCAGGGAACAGATAAAACACAACCACTGTAAAGATAGTTTTGCAGCATTGTTCATCCAGCAATATGAACCTGAACATTTACAACAAGAATAGAAGGGACATCGCCAGATATATGCTGAGAAGGAAGTTCCACGAAGCGAGCAATATGATCAATTTTCCTTGGGCATAAGAAAACATCAACGCCGAAAGGATAAAACGCTGCGCAGTTTGGAGCAAAGTCTTTCTTTTTATCCCTGTAGCCAAAGTAGAGTTGGTGCAACAACAAAATCAGGCAATGACAACAGATTCTTTCATCTGTCCACATGACCGTGTGATTATAGCAAATTAAATATTTAATAAGGATACAAAATGTCATCAGATAGATAATCTCACCTAAAATAGTTTTTCCCTCTGACTTTAAACGTGCTTGGCTCAATTGGCGACCAACAATCCCGCATTCTCTTGTCTATCGGGCAATGAGGAACCGTAGAACCTGCTTTTGGCCTTTGCCGAAGCACGTTGGGTGAAACTAAGCACAGAGAAAACACGAAGATCATCAAATTGCTGGACATTTTTGTAGCGAGTATGGAATAATTGAGGGGAAAAGTCATTAGTTGACTTTGAATGATTTCCCTAAAGTTTTGGGATAGGTGATTAGGCAGTTTCCCTCTTTTTTTGATTTGTTTCCTTATTTATCTTGTTTCCTTTTATTTGTTGTTCCCTGGCTTATCTATATAAAGAGGCCAGTATACATGCCTAGGATTATGAATGATTGAACAATAGTTTCATTCTTCTAGCAGTGTTTCTCCTCTAGTTACTATCTCCCCAGGTTCTTGCTATATGGTATCAGAGCCAGATTAAATCTGGACGTTCTTGAACTCCGAGTTGTAGATGGCAGCATATAAGAGGGCTTTGACTGGAGCAAGCGGAGGCAATGTCCCTGAGGAAAGTTCCAACACCTCTCGGACTACCTCCACAATTGCTCCCACTGCTATTTCTCAACCCACTTCCATGAACCCCGAAATTTCTAACCATATCTCTCTACAAATTACCACCCACAAATTAAATGGAAAGAATTTTCTTAAGTGGTCTCGTTCAATATTGATGGTTTTACAGGGAAGAGGAAGATTGGGCTATTTGGATGGTTCAATTCCGCAGCCCAAAATTGAAGACCCTTCTTATGCGAATTGAGAAGCTCAAAACTCCATGGTGATGGCGTGGTTGATTCACTCGATGGAAGACAACATTCTAGATACCTACATACTATTTCCCACGGCAAAAAAAATCTGGAATGTTGTAAACTTGGCCTATTCCGATTTAGAGAATGCCTCACAGATGTTCGAATTGAGAAACAATGTGAGAAATCTGAAACAAGGGGAAAGTGATGTTACAAAGTATTATCATGAGTTGACAAGAACTCTGCACTTGTTGTTTGTGAACGTGGACAGGAGAATCCAGGGGAAGGAAAAAATAACAAGAAGTGGTGCGAATATTGCAAGAAACCTTATCATACCAAGGAGACTTGCTGGAAACTACATGGCAAACCGACCAACTGGACACCTCAGAATCGTGGACGTGAAGGAAAGGGATTTCAAGCAGCAGCCGACAAAACTGATGAAGAATTAATCACTCCAGCCACTGCAGCACCGGTTTTCTCTAAGGAACAGCTGGAACAATTAAGGCAGATGATGACACAATCATCTTCCCACTCATCATCTCTCTTGGCTCAGAGAGGTAAAGCATTAACTGTTTTTTGTGGCTTGGCAGAAAAAGAAGAACCATGGATTATTGACTCAGGAGCAACAGACCACATGACTGATTGTGGTAAACTTTACACTACATATATTCCCAGCGCTGGAAACCGCAAAGTGCAGATTGCCGATGGGACCTCCTCTGTGGTGGCCAGTACTGGGACTATAAGAACTGGACCTAGTGTCACGTTAAAAGGGGTTCTCCATGTGCCGAATCTAAGTTTTAATCTTTTGTCCATAAGTAAGATAACCAAAGACTTAGACTATGAAGTAATTTTTCTGCCGTATGTCTTTCAAGACCAGACTCTGGGTTAGATTCTTGGTGGTGAGTAACCTTCTGGCTTTCTCAAACTTTTTGGTTCTTCCTGCGTGAATAGGTTAGATCAAATGGTTGCAGACCACCCTCCTTAATTTTTTTGTGTTCTTGCGTTATAGACTTTGGTGCTCTAAGGTTTTGAACTTGTGTAGAATTGTCAGGTTGTGAAGGATTATCTACCTATTCTGTGATGGTGTGTAGTTAATCATAGCCAGGTGGTTCGAGTACGGGTAGATTTGATTGAACATTATCCGGAATTTTAGTGGAATTTTCTATGGTAGTGGTCGGGAAATTTTCAGGCTCTATAACAGGTGGATCTGTCTGATTTAAGCCAGGAATATTTTCAAACTTTTTACCATGATTCTCTACTTCAGGGGATGTTTCATTAAGACTAGAATCCCTAGGTTCACGCTTTGTAATTTCTAGAGGAGGAGCAAAATCCCAAAAAAATTCCCAAGATTCGAAGTTTGGAACTACAGGATATTTTGACTTCTCCCAAAAATTATCTTCCCATTTTTTCTCCCCCTAAAGGAAATTTTTAGTAAACGCAGGTTGATCTTCAAAGAAGGTGACATCCCTAGACACAAAGTACTTCCTCTTTTCTATGGAGTAGCACCTATAGCCCTTTTTAGTTGTAGAATACCCCAAAAGAAACATTTATGAGCTCTAAGGTCTAATTTCCCTCGGTTAGGATCAAGGTTATGAATAAAGGCAACACAACTAAACACTTTTAACTCTAGAGAATATGGAACACGAGCCTCTGGGTAAGATCTGTATAGGCATTCTATCGGGGTTTGAAATTTGAGAACTCGAGAGGGTACCCTATTTACCAAGTATGTTGCAGTTAGAACTGCGTCACCCCAAAAACGCTTAGAAAGATTTGCTGTAAACAGTAATGACCGGGCAACTTCTAAAAGATGACGATTTTTTCTCTCGGCTACTCCATTTTGTTGTGGTATATCAACATATGAGCATTGAAAAATTCGGTTCCATTATCAATTCTCAAGAATTTAATATTCTCATCAAATTGTGTTTTAATCATTGCATGAAATTCTTTGAAAACATTCCCGGCTTCGGATTTTTCTTTTAGGAGATAAACCCAACAGACACGTGTGTGGTCATCGGTGAAGGTTATGAACCATTTTTTGTTGTTGGTGAGACTTGAAATACGAGAAGGTCCCTAAATATCACTATGAATAAAAATGAATGGTTTTGATGCACAGTATGGTAAAGGAAAGCGATGAACATGAGTGTGCTTTGCTAATTGACAAACTTCACATTGAAATTTTTCATTATTCTTGAACAAAGATGGAAACAAAAACTTCAAATAAGGAAAACTAGGATGTCCTAATCTATAATGCAATAACATAACTTTTTAAGTTCTAGAGATAGAATTGCTTGTAACCATCTGAGCTTTCCCATTAACGCAAGAATCATCCTTAAAGTAGTATAGGCCATCCAGCTCCTCAGCACTACCAATCTTCTTCCCCGATAATCTATTCCATACGTCTGTGTGTAGCCCTTAGCCACCAACCGAGCTTTATATCTTTCAATTGAACCATATGCCTTATACTTAACTGTGAATACCCACTTGCACCCAACTGGAATCTTGTTTTTTCACAATGTCCCACGTGCCATTCTTCTTTAGAGCTCCCATTTCTTCCAAGACAGCTTGTCTCCATTCCGCTTTTTCCATTGCCTCCTGGATATCTCTCGGTATTTCCACACTTGCCATATTAGACACCAAGGCTTTCATTGGTCCTGACAAATGATCATACCCTATATAATTGGTTATAGGGCGTTTGGTACAGGATCTGGTACCCTTTCTTAGAGCAATAGGAATGCCTAAATCCTCCAAGTTACAAGATTACCCCACACAAGAGTGCAATAGCCCGAGGTAGACCTTCTGTCCTCAACATCGCCAGCCCAATCTACGTCAGTATAGACCTTTATGTTTCTATCTTCTCTCTTCTTGAAGAATAAACCTCGTCCTGGTGTTCCTTTTAAATACTTCAAAATCCTATAGACAGCTTCTAAATGTTCTTCAGTAGGAGAATGCATTTATTGACTAACTTTACTCATAGCAAAGGCTATATTAGGTCTAATATGAGACAAGTAGATAAGTCTCCCAACTAGACATTGAAAGCGGCCCTTGTCTACAGGACTATTATCCCTTACAACCTCCCTTTTTTTATTTGGTACCTATAGGAGTCTCTACTGGTTTGCAACCTGTTAGGTATTTTTATTAGTTGGCAATTTATTGGCAATCTTATAAAAATTCAAAAAACAGGTTTAAGAAGATTTCGTATTACAGAAGAAGATTCAGAATTAGATTTGAAGTTAAAGTTGCAGATTTTGTTGAGTTGAGATTTGAAGAGATAAGAATAAAAACTTGATCAAAGGAAGATAAGATATTGGTTGAGATTTGAAGAGATAAGGATAAAACCCTGGTCAAAGGAAGATAAGGCATTGGTTATTTGAATTTAAATGGGAGATAAAGCTTATATATAGATCAAGTTGTTTTTAGATTTGAATTCTTGGCTAAATCCGATTATTGTTTGGAGTTGTTCAAAATTGGAGCTTGCGGATAACGTTTACAAAAGAATATTTAAAATCAAATCAAGCTTGATGTATTACGTGAAGCATGGGAGGTTTACATGTGATAAACATATATTGTTAATGTTGGAAGTGAAAGGAGCTTGGAGAAGAAGGCTACGGGTGAGGTAAGATAGATTGGATTATGTGCTATAAAGGTGTTGGTGGATGAGAATGTTAAATCTGAATTCAAAGTTTAAAAGGATAATTAATTCGAACTTGATAGTTTGCTGCATAATTCAAATTGAAGATTGAAAAGATAACGTGAAGACATTTTAGAATCTATCTAGGAGAGAGAATCATGGAGATAATAGAAATCTTATCGAGAGTGGATTTAGATGAGATTCTCTTCACTTTATTTAAAGGCTTTGTTTCAGAGCATATGGGAGTACGAGTTTAATAGAATATTTTCATAAAAGAGTCTGTGAGTTTTTGTGAGCCTAGTGCGCTATTGAGATCGTCCTTCGGGAGAGAGATTTGTTGCTTTCGGGAGGAAGCTCTGCCGGTCGAAGGGAGTTCGCTAGGTGAATAGAAGACGTGCGGTGCACGCTAAATAATCACTGTGGAGATTCGTCACAGCGGCATCATTGTCTAGGAGAGAGTTCTTCAGTGAATAAGTCTGTCCGGTGTCTGTAATTTCTGGAACATAGTGAATTATTTACTGTCTGGCCGTAGCCCCGCAGATATAAGTGTGCGCACCGAACTGCAATATCTTATTGTGTGTTCTTTTGATTTCTGCACTTTATTCTGCTCGAGCAACTGTACATAATTAACCCAGATCTTAATTAATTAAACCGTGTTCCCAATAGTGTTCCAATATCATATGGAACACCAGGCGTAACATCAGATCTAACACAACCCAACATCCCGGTTTCTTTCAAGAGATCTAGTACATATTTTCTCTGTGAAACTAAAATGCCACTTTTGTTTCTAGCTATCTCCATTCCAAGAAACAAGTAGTTGCTGAAGGTTGGAGTTACCTCTACGTGTCTACTGTGACAATAAGGCAGTCATAAATATCTCACATAATCCTGTTCATCATGATAAGACCAAGCATGTGGAAGTCGACCGGCATTTCATCAAATAAAAGATAGAATGAACTATTTGCATGACATATGTTCCTACTACTGGACAAGTGGCTGATATTCTGACCAAAGGATTGGCTAAACCCTTGTTTGAAAAATTGATAGACAAGCTAGGTATGTACAATGTGTACTACCCAGCTTGAGGGGGAGTGTAGCTGAGTATGGAATAATTGAGGGGAAAAGTCATTAGTTGACTTTGAATGATTTCCCTAAAGTTTTGGGATAGGTGATTAGGCAGTTTCCTCTTTTTTTGATTTGTTTCCTTTTATTTGTTGCTCCTTGGCTTATCTATATAAAGAGACCGGTGTACATGCCTAGGATTATGAATGATAGAACAATAGTTTCATTCTTCTAGCAGTGTTTCTCCTCTAGTTACTATCTCCTCGGGTTCTTGCTATAATTTTTATCCTCAAACCACATTAAGCTCGTTTGGTATAGCTTATGCTTATGCTTATGCTCTTAGTGACATTTTCTTCGAAGAGCTTTATAAAATCATACATAGACTCGTTAAAAGAGATTTTTCAATTGACTGAAACCTCTTTTGAAAAGTTATCCAAACACTCCCACGAGAAATTTTAGACCCAGAAAGTCCAGCATCTTTTAGAAAGCAATGTCAAACATGCCCATTAAAGTTTCTCTGTTTGGAAAAATGCCTATGTAAAGGTAAAGCAAAATATACCTAATTGGAGATGAAAATAAGAAAAGCATTATTACTGATGTCACCGTTCCACGTAATAAATAAACTTCATTGAAGTTCAATTACGCTGACTTAAGATTTAAAACAGACAATGAAATCCCATTTAAACTAAAGAAGGATTAAATGCAATACTCACTTAATGCCATATCAGAGTGTTGCCCTTCCCTCCATTTAAAGGAAAGTTTTGAGGGCAATTTCCACTTAAAACTTGGAGGACCTGGGCTTATTGGTCTTCTCTTGTCAATTGTGGAGGCTGTGGAAGCAAGAAAAGGCAAGCAATTATTCGGAAGAAGTCCGCAATGATCCAACGGCTGCGTAGTCCCGTCTTCTCCCACGACACTTTCTTCCGCACAAATAGTAGATGCTTCATCCATATTAATCGAACCAGACTCAATTCTCCCATTGTTCTTGTTTAACGTTTCCCTTGGTTTGTGATTCTCCTGTTGGTCAGAGGAAACGACAGCTTGAGTCTGAGTACTTTCACCAAGCTCCTTATTACGATAAAAGCCTCTTGGCGATGAAACACTCAATCTGGATGCGCTTTCGTTGCCATTAACGGAGGAAAAATCTGCAAATGGTTAAAGACTCAGCAACTTTATAAATAAATTTTCAAAAAAAAAAGCTAAAAATCATTTCTTTTATGTCGCCTAAAAACAGCATACCCTCGCGAACGCTGTAGAAATCATCGTCCAATTCGGATTCAACAAAAGAAGTACAATCCACCCATGGCACGTCCGTACTTGCTCTAGCTGTTCCTGAATACAAGCAAGAACACGAATAAAAAACAACGTGAATTTATTTTCCCCTTTTCTAAAGTTCAAGTACCAAAAGAAGATGTAAGGCTCAAGTTCCTGACTTTGGTGACTTTGGTTAAAAAATGAAAAATGGATCTCCGGAAATTAATGCATACAAGCCAATAACATTCATTCAAAAGTTCCTAAATTAATGTTTCCAGCAAAAAAAAAAAAAAAAAGAATCCTAAATTAATGAAGACAAACTCATCTTCTTCACAGAGCTAATTTACTTCTTAAAAAAGAAATCGGATCCACAAAAGAAAAAAGGATTAGTGAATAAACGAACCTTGAAGTGCAGGATTAGGGTAAGATCGATTCAGGGACGAAACGCGCCTCTGAAGAGTTCTTCTTCTGCGGTACTTCTTCTTCTTCGACAAATCCAATCTCCTTTCCACGCACTCTTTGGGTCTCGAAACGCAAGCTCCCATCGTCTCTCTCTCTCTCTCTCTCTAAAATTATGTTTTTCTTCTTCTTATTCTCCTTCTCGTCCTCAAAATTCTATTTAACTCCCTCTCTTTCTCTCTCTAAAATTCTCTTTTTCTTCTCCTTCTTCTCCTTCTCTTCCTCAACATTCTATTTTAAAAAACTCTCTCTCAGTCCACTAGAGCTGCTTCGTCTTTATCACACTTCCATAATCATTAAACAATAAATAAATAAAAACTGATAATTTACCCACCAAAAGAAAAGAAAAAAGAAATCGGTAATTTTTATCTAAAAATTGAGAGGAGAATATAATTATTCGATTCCGATGATACTCTCGGCTTCGAAACTCGGCAAAGTGCGTTTTTGGAAAAGTCAAAAACACAGCGCAGTTAATCTTGATTAATTTGTAACACGGGATCCGTAATCAACCGTTTGGCACTTGGTATGGGCCCACGCGCTATTAATTGTTAGAACGGACGGTCATAAGAGCGCGTTTGATCATAGCTCCTGTAAAGAGGCGCGTGGGTTGAGATGCTTGAGAACCTAACACCGTGTCTGAGGACAGACTTCCGTTCACGATGTCGTTCAATGTTTGAGTGTCAGTTCTCAGCACGTGTCCTTAGCTGTTGGTAGCACGTGTTTTTGTAATTTCTTGCTCATCATTATACCCATCTTCTTCATCATTATCCCCATCTTCTTCATCATTATCAATGATTATTTATTTTTTATTTTTTAAAATCTTCACTTGCTAAATGGGCCTCGGACCATATTATTGGGCTTCAATTGTAGTCCAGCTAAGAGCTATAAGGCCCCTCTCCTTCCCTAAAAGAAATAGAAAATTATATAAGACTTTTATTCTTGCGCTTTATAAATATCTTTTTATTAATATAATTATTTAATTAAAAAAATTATGAATCAACAATAAAATAAAAAATAAAAATCTTGACCCATCGTATTTGTCAAGATTATCCGCAGCTAAATGGAGTGAAGGATGAGCTATGTTTGAGCTTTGGCAATGGCGGTTTCTTCGTTTCCATCTCTTTACTCGCTGAAAATCAATAATTGTAAAAACCAGGGATTATCTTCTTCTAGTGTTCCTATCTTCAATGTCCGCGCCAGACCAAGCAGAAGACCAAAGCCATCGACCATTATTGTCTTCTCTTACAGTACATTCTTGAACTCAATTACTTGGTTTCAAATTTCGATTTTTCATGGCGAAAATAATTCATTTCTGTGGTTAATTTGCAGAAAAATCAGGTAATGGAGCGGTGAGCGAAGAGGCGAAGAGAGTATTACGAGAGCGATACGGTTTCAACCCCAACGAACTCTTATCCGATGAACCTTCTCCGAAGGTCATTCTTAATCTCTCTGTCTCTTGATTTTCTTGTTGTTTAAGCTTAAAAATTAGTTAATTAATGGAGTTTTGGGGATTTTAATTGCGGAATTTCAGACCGGAAGGAGAAAGCAACTGAAAAATACGGGAAATGGCAAGCAAGACGGAGCAGAAGAGGATCCAAAGCCGCCTCGAACTACTCATAAACTTCTTCAGGTTTTCATTTTTCTGATTATGTATATTTAGAGTAAAATCTTTAGAATTATAGATTTTTCATTGTGAATGAAAATGTCAAACGAAGCCAAATGTAGGTGCTTGGAGGAAAGGCTCGGAGAAAGAAGTTGCTGTCTCCAAAGGGCATGGATGTACGTCCAATGATGGAGGTTGTCAAAGGTGCTGCTTTTGATATATTACAGGTAAAGGCTGTGCGTTTGTTCAAAATTTTCAGTGAAAAAAAGGGGCTCTTAATCTATTGGTTTTGTTCACATTCTGATTATTCTATTTGCTTGCCAAATTATTATTCTTATTAAAAAAACCAAGGTCTATTTACTTGTCAATAATCTATGTTAACCTATTTTTAGGCTGCTGGTGGTAATCCTACATCTTTAAGGCCCGGCCGCTGGTTAGACTTGTACAGTGGTACTGGATCTGTGGGGATTGAAGCTATTAGCCGTGGATGTTCTCAGGTACATTCGATAAAGTTTTCAATTTATGTTCTTCACTTTTATATGGTTTGTCCTTTGCATAATCTGTACTTTGATTTGTTTGCTATGGCTTGTTGACATGCAAAATTTTCAGGTGCATTTTGTAGAGATGGATCCGTGGGTTGTCTCAAATGTACTGCGTCCAAACTTGGAATGGACAGGGTTTCTTGATGCTTCAGTTATACACAGTGTTCGTGTTGAAAACTTTTTAGAACGTTCAAAGCAATTTCTTGGTACATTCATGCCTCTTTTTGTCAACTTTCTGTTCCTACCACCCTTCTTTGCATGTAAAGAATCATCCTGTCAAATGATATTTCTACTGGATTTCTGATTTGAGTTCTAGTGAGTCATAACTATCAAGTTTTCTGTAGATGGTAGATTAGTATTATTTTTTCGATAAATTTGGAATAAGAGGCGTGCTTTCTTATGCTTGATAAGAAGAAGAAACAATTGTTCAGATATTCAGATCGGTCAATTAATATCACTTCCGTTACATTTCACAACATCTACAGATTAAAGGTATGATTATGTGCAGGTGAAGGTGAACCATTTGATTACATTAGTGTTACCCCTCCATACACACAAGTTGACTATGAGATACTGATGCGCCAGATTTCAAATTCTGCCTTAGTTGGTGATAATACCTTTATTGTAAGCGTGGTTTCTTATTCTCTGCTAATTTGTTGAATGCATATATTTAAACTAGTCTTTCGTTCTAACGTCTAAATCTTTTTTGTGATCTGAAGGTAGTGGAGTACCCACTAAGAACAGATATGTTGGATTCCTGCGGCTGCCTGATTAAGGTAATTGGAACAACCAGCAGTTTTCCTTCCACAATAACACTGAAAATTAGTATCTATTAACTAATGACTTAAATCTTTGGAATGCGTTGTGGATATTAAACTCGAAGGTTTTATACAAGATGGGAAGGGGAGTTGAGTTACATGCTATTTAATCTAAAGTAACTAGAGATGTGGATTTTATGGTGCAAAATAATCATGCTGAATACCATGAATGTTTTGTTGGTTTATAGGTGCTTAACTTGTAATGTGGAATTGCAGATAACTGATCGACGATTCGGCCGTACCCACTTGGCAATTTATGGTCCCAAATGGGCTAAGAAGAGAAAATCAGAGAACTTGCTGGGCAAGATAGCAGTGCGACTTTCATAGAAGTCTGCAGGTTGATAGTCAAAACTGTCACCATATAAATAGTCACCTAATCCACTATCATTCCGACTACTTTGCTGTCCGCAACCGTCTCATGGTAATCGATCGATTTCACGAGCCTTAGCCACCAAGTTTGCATATTTCTTTTGTTGCACATTATTACGACTGAATTAAAATGTTGAATTCTGATGTTGCAGGTAAAAGTCCTAATTGCCGATTTGAACACCGAGGATGTTCGACCGTTTCAAGTGCTAGATGATTGCGTCTAGTTTCTTTAGTTTTTATCGAAAGTGCAAAGCATCAAGACATTAAAAGCCTAATTTTGCGTGTATAGAAATTGATCGTCTATTTTTAGTTGAGAGTTTGGATGTAGCTTGTAGAAGAATAGCTTCCCTCCGCAAGCTCTAGTTCTAGAAAAAGTTGATTTGCACCCTTGATTATGAAGACTTTGTTGCAATTTCCAAGGTACATATATGAATGCCAATTTTCCATGGGCATTACAAGAGATCCCATTTTTGTTTCTTTAGTTTTTATAAAATTGGTTCTTTATGAATGGAACCCTAAAAAGAGAAAAGTGACAGCTCCACCATATGTGAAGCTTAACAGTAGAAAAATATGGATGTAGTTTAAGGGTTCAATCTGAACGGCTCCAATATCCAACAGTTCAATCGTATATACAACTATTTGGGATTTAAACCTTACTCTCTTTGGAGCCAACCTAAGGGGAAAGAAGTTTGTTTGTAACTGGAGAAAGTCCAAGTAATGCCCGCTTAGGATGAACACGAGTTGCAACTCTTCCGACAATTACCAGGGAAACCCTCAGAACCCACCATATAAACAGGGTTCTTTGCACATTCACCGGCCTTAGCCCATAAAGGGCAGTTATCATTGTCATCCGTGCATTCATCACTGCTTGATCGCTTCACTGGCTTGTCAAAGGACCTAACATGAATCCACTTGGTGGCAGACCACTTCTCACCCTCAATCACAGGGCAGCTCCCATGCAAGCTATTTGTGTCGGTAGTAGCATCGAGATGAAGGCTGAAGAACAGCAAGGCATCTCCCTTGTATGGTTTCACTACAAGAAGATGAAACGGAAATTTTCAGATACTCCCAACAAAAACATGAGAGGGCATTGATGTGAACAGAGCATACTGGATACATACAAAATAAATGCCGTGTTTGGAATTGTTTTTATTTTTATTTTTCACATTTTTCGAGAAAAAAAAGATGAAAACGATTTCAAAACGGCGTTGGGCACAATTAAAGTTAAAAAACGAAAATAAAAATAATTTTTTAATTTAGTGTAAAATAAGAGATGAAAAACGACTAAAAGTCATTTTTCATTTCTTATTTTCGTTTTCTTCTCTCTCGAGCAGAGAGAGAGAGACATTAATGGTTTTTTTATACTTAAACCAATCTCTTGATAAAACTATCATACGCATTTTCAAAAATGATTTATGTCTGAGATTGAAAACGTTTTCATTTCTATTTTCATACAAAAAACAAAATCATTTTAGAACGAGTTCCAAACGCGCCCAAAAGGTAATTGTCAAATTAAAATAACAAATGGTTATTAGCCATGCTGCCTGTTTAAACAGAAATTGAGCAATTTTAACGGAAAAGAATGTGCTAGGTCGTAGACCATGATATGTCTCAGATCCATGCTAAAAGCAGCAGCTGGGAATCACAATAGTAAGGTAAAGTGAAAAACAACGCAAGGGGATGAGACGCCCAAGAAAATTCATTCAATCTCATGAAACTGACGATGGCATGCAGCATTATCTAACTTGCGAGAGGAAAAGACCAAGCGGTTAGAAGGATTAAAAGAATAGTGAGTGCTTGAATTTTCAAATTTTTAAAGGCTAGTAACACTTGCATACAAAATTCACCACTCTGTTCATGCGTAGTGTGCAAAGATACATGAAGTTGAAGACAGTTCTCTGGGTTAGCTAACAAATATATAACAAGATAACAGCGGATTTGAACACATCGCAAACTCTTACCTGCATAGCCACTTTTAGCACAATCTGACCAATTAGCACCTTTTGGTTGAGACATTTTTTGCTGCAGACACACAAAAGAACAACAAAAACGTATTGATATAGGATGAGAAGGAATTAGAAATAAACAACATGAATTTCAGTACTGCAAGAAGCTCATCATCAGGCGTCACCTCTGCATTGGGAAAGATCGTTTCCCCGCCCTTCTCAACGTTTGACAAATACATCAATACCGTGGCAACCCGGTGGCCACCCAACTCTTGATTCGCCTTGTCATGGAAATAATCAAAATGGGGTTCATACTTCTCACCATGCTCATAGTGCAGTATCTGCATGGACTCACCATTTTCTGATAAAGAAAAACCATATTCAATTTAGACTAAAAAGAAATCACTTTTAACATCTCAAGAGATCATAACAACCAATACCTACCTTCTGGAAGAAAAGTCCATGCAGCAATTCTGGCCTCAATGTCAGTAACTATTTGATCCTTTAAAATTAATCAAAAACACAAATAAGTTCTCGAAGATCACACGTTTAGAAGAATCAATGACATGAACAAACAATTTTCAACAAGTTACTATATCTAACGGTTAAAAACAGTGTCCTACCAATAACATGCTTTTTCACACTCATTCAAGTCAATAGTTGGTATATTACAAATGAATTTGGGTAATATATATAAGAAGTGTTAGGAAAACAAACCCCTGAGTGGTAGCAGAAAATAAATTGAAACAAAAATAATAGAAAAATAAAAAAGACAGATTTAAGTGGTTCGGGAAATTTCCTATGTCACGGAAGAGGGAGAAAAATTCACTAACAATTTCAGTATTACACTTATTCTCACTTTCTCTCGCTGCCCAAAACCTCTTACACCCTTACCTATCTCTCTCAAAAAGAAAGTACTCTTTCTCTGTACTTTTCTTTGAGCACACCTTTTTTTTTTAACACACATAAAGCTCTCGAAGATCACACGTTTAGAAGAATCAATGACATGAACAAACAATTTTCAACAAGTTACTATATCTAACGGTTAAAAACAGTGTCCTACCGATAACATGCGTTTTCACACCCACCACCGAATTCCTTCCCCCCCCCAAAAAAAAAAAAAAAGAGGCTTTGGGTTTTGTTACCTGAGCCTTCTGGAGGAACATTCCAGAGCTGGTACGTACTTCGCTCATAATACTCTTACCAGAGTCGTTATCGGCCACCATTGACTTTTCTAGCTTATCCTTAGCCTATAAACCCAAATCCATATTCCATATCAATTCCATGCATAAACCAAAAATCTAATCTTGAATCACACATAACATTATTCTTTTCATGACAAACGAAAAAAAAATGTATATTTACCAGAGTGATTAGGTGGTCACACTCCTCCTCAGATAGAAATCCCTTGTAAAGAAAAGCCCTGCGGAGTTTTAATTATTATATTAAAATTAATAAAAAAAATTTAAGAAACCGACATTAAGAAATAAAAAAAATAAAAGAACAAGAAAATAAACAAACAAACCTGGGATGCCATGAGAGCTGAGTGACCCGAGTTGGATCGAAGGTTACAGAAGAAGCGCCGGTCTTCAATCTAAGCACAGATTCCTCACTGCGAATACAGAAAAACTCAAACAAATTATTCAAAAAAAATAACAGAAAAAAAAAATCAAAAGAAGATGAAGAGAAGGGAATAGTCTGACGTTTTCTTTTCTGAGAGCCATTTTGGGACTCGAACGGAGGAGAATGAGAGATCGGGGAAGAAGCAGAGAAAACAGAGAGAAAGTGCAAGAAAATATCGAGAATCCATGAACAAATTTCGGTGCTTGGTATGCCCACGGAATCTAAGCACAATGGGACCGAATAACCGAATCGAATTGTTGGATTTGGTGTGATTTGGGCATGTTCCAGAGCTCGAGAGAAGGGGTCTTCAAATAGAAAAAAGAAAAAAAGAAAAAAATAATGCTGGGCTTACTTTTTTTTTTTTTTTTTTTTTAGACGTATTTATGGAGAAAATTAAATCAGAGCCTTTTCCACGCTACTGCGTAAGAGACGACTTTATTTATTTATTTTGTCAAACGACTTTTTAATTATGGGTTTACTTCATAGCCTCAGTAGTTTTTGTTTTTCGACCTAAATCAATGGGCGCCCACGACCCTTCGGCCTTGGGTTTTTGGTTTGTGAAGTTCTGGAAGGTTCTCTCGTCTTATCGTTTCTGTTGTTGTTCCACACATTGCTTTATATTTTCTGTGTTTTCAAGTTTAAATTTCAGGTCATTTTTGTGTTATTGGTGCAAGAATTATTAACGTTGTGATGATTTAAGTTTTGAATTTGATAAAATTGGTTTATATTAAAATTTTTAAGTCGTCAAAATCCATGAATTTTGAAAACTTTTACTAAATATAAGTTAGAGATTAAAATTTTCAAAAATATATTTTAAAAATCAATCCAAAAAAATATATTTTTTAAAAATACTGTTACACCATGGTCAAACACCGTCAACAAATACTTAATCAAAAATGAAAAGAATTAATTACAAAAACTCTCTATGCATTTTATCGTTTTATAATATTTCGTTCGCTAATCTTTAAAACGTGACATTTACTCTTTTTAAACAATGAAACTTTAATAAAAATACATCATGCGTTAACAAATTTAACAATTTTTAACACGTTTCATATAAATAACAGTCGTTGTTAATAATTTAAAACACAATTACTATTTTAGCTACGCACCCTAATTTTTTAATCTAATTTATATAAGATATAGTAAAAAACAAAATAAATCTTATTCACTCTTAATGACCATAATAAGTGCCCCACCTCACAAACATGATTCCTTTTTTTAAAAAAATGGTTTTTTCTTTCATTTGCTATATTAACTAAACAAAAAAATTCGAAACAACTTCATAAACTTTTAATTCTATACAAAAAAATTCATAAATTTTTTAATTTAAATTCAATTAAGGATGGATATTTCGTATTTAAAAGTCTAAATTTAAATTAATTTTAAATTTACATTAAATTTTAAACCCTAAAATTACTAAAATATCCCTAAAATAACTAATTAAATGTTAATTTTTGTTAGAATTTTATTGTTTAAAGGGACCTGATGTTACGTTTTAAAATTGGGTGAGTAAAATGTCACATGAGTCATAGTTTAAGAGAAATTTATGTAATTAATCTAAAATAAAATACATAAAAAAATTAAAGGATCATATCGTCGTAATATTTGTTCGCATTGGTTTTAGTGCACATTCACAATAAGAGAAGAATCCGAGTAAAATCAATAAAAAGCAATAACGAAAATAACACCCCAAATCCCTTATCAACAATACCACTTAGCAGATGTTGAGGTGGCTTCGCATGTAATGCAATTTTTTAAGGTGCGAGGGACGTTTTCATTGTTAGAGTTGATGAATCAACAAAAAAAGTTTCCAACAAGCTAATCCTACCTTAAAAGCAAATCATTTTCATTTTTCAACTAAATTAATTGATAAAAATAAGTAGAATTGAGGTAGAAGCCTATTAAACGAAAAGTTAAGTTGTCAACTTGAATGAAATGTTCACTTTTTAAACTCAAACGAAATGGTCTTGACAGAAACTGCAAGTTTGAGCCGAATCAAACAAACTAACTTGATCTTTTGACTATTGCCTTAGGCTAGGTCTGGGCCGACCTCCAAACCAAGTTGAGCTGAGGTTTAGAGTTCAAAAGTTTAGTCAAATCAACCCGGCTTGGTTCAAACACTTTAAAAAAAATGAACATACCTTTTGAAATTTCAGACCGGCGGCCTAGCCCTAGGCCCCTCGGGCTTTAAAGTCATACTTAGTTGATCCTTTCTTTTAGATCCAAGTCAAGTCGGACACCTCAAACTTTCACCTCTAAGTGACTTTTCTTCCTCATTTGTTATATTATTTATCACATGTTTTATATTATTGTACAGTATCCTTATTCATAATCCATATCTCAAAGCATATTATTAAACTTTTATTTTTGATAAATGCCTCATTCTATATCAGTATGAAAATTAAAGTCACAAGTTGCTAACAACCACCATAAGTTTTATAGTAATCATTAGCAACCAACGACTTTCATAACTCTTTTAATAGCCGCAGGCTTAGGTTTGTCCACAACGCCGTCGTTCCCCGCGAGCGCCCGGTACTTGTCCTTCCTGGTGAAGCCGGTGCACTCGTACGACAAGCTCGCGGCTATCAGCCTCTGCACGTAATTCGCAACCTCGTACTGCGCCTTCTTCCCGGCCCCACACGTCATCTCGTACGGCAACTTCTCCAAGAATATCACCTCGTACGCCGGGCTAGGGTTCATGAAGAAGTAGAACGGGTCCATCCCCTTCCACCCCCTCACTGTTGTCCCGTGGAATATCCCCATCCTGCTCGCCATCGCCACGGGGACGAGCTCGTCCGTCAGCTCCGCGAACAGCGCCGAGAATCTCAGCAGGAACGGCTCGCGACACGTGGTCCCCTCCGGGCATATAACCAGGTCCCCTTCTTCTAGAAGCTTCTTTATCATGGCGGCGTCGGTGTCTCGGTCGCGGCTCAGCCGAACAGTCGTTATCGGAGATATGATTTCGGAGAGCCGCGAGAGGGAGTACGTGACGGCGGGGATTGGACGGCCTAGAGCCGCCGAGAGGAAGACTGGGTCGAGGAGGGTCCGGTGGGAGCAGATGAAGAGGACTCCACTCCGGCCCGTGGATTTCTGGGCCTGGGGAGGTGGGCTTCCTTTTATATGGACCCGGACGCCTAAGGCCCAAAAGACGTAGTACACGATCGGCATCGGGAGTAAAGAACCAGCGGCGATTCGCAAGCAAGCTAACAAAAACCCGATCGGAATCCAGAGAATAATGAGTAGAGCCATAAATGGCGTTGGTTTTTGAACCAAACGGCCGTCGTGGAAAACTACAGGTTTCGGAAGCTTCTCGTGGCTTACGGGCTGGAGTTCGGGATTTGGGGTAACGACGTAGCTCTCTTTGCACAATGACATGAACGGAAAATCGGTTCTCCGGTCGCCAATTCCAATATCTGGAGGCGGCGCATGGGAAAACGCTTTGCGGAGCGCGTGAGCCTTGTTTTTCCCGACCAGAACTCCGGGAGTTTTAACCAAACCAGTGGCTCTGCCTCTGTAAACGTGTATCTCCGTTCCGAGAACCATGTCGGCGCCTAAATAGTCTTTCAGAAATGATTCCACCATGATCTTGGGGTTCGCCGTCAAAACGCAGCGTTTCCCGCACGAGGAGAAGACCCGCCACGTGTCGGGATGCAAGTCGCCGGAGTAGAACTTCGGGAGGACGGCGCGGGCGACCAATTCGATGTCGGAGGCTCGCATGCCGGCGAAGGTGGCGAAGATGAGGACGCGGATTCCGGCGGATTCGGAGATGAGGTAATAGAGGATTCCGACGACCGGAGAAGCCAAGAGCAGGAGGAGGAGCCGGAGAACTCCTCCGACTTCGAACGCGACAAGAGCAAAGTAAGGAAACGAACTTCGTCCGGTGAGCAACGTGCCGTCCATGTCGGCCACGACGGTGTCCTTTTCGCGGCCGATGGATTTGCATTCGTCGATGGTTGGGAACGTTAGGGGAGAGTAATGCAGCTTTTCTGCCATTGTTACGTAAATAATGATATTGATAATGCTAGTGATTAGAGTTGTTAAGCAGTTAGTATTTATTTAATTGGGCTCTCATTTATATAAACTTTTTCAAAGTTAAGAGACTTTTTAGGGGGGGGGGGGGACAGATGTTTGTTGTTTTGGTTTTTAAGACCTTTGTTGTTTTGGTTTTTAAGACCAAATTGGTAGTAGAGATTTCCCGATTAATTATATAGTGGTCTTTTAACAACCGAACAAATTTAATTCTTTGGATTAATCGATAAGACTTTTTTATTGTTTATTTAAGGCTTTAGTAATGTGGGGATGATATGAACAAGAAGAGGAGGAATCATTTGCACGTAAGCTAATTGCGGAGTAGTAGAGAACTATTTAAGTTTTTTTTTTTTTTTTTTTTTTCACATGTGGCGAGTGATTGGGGTTACTAGCCTAAAAGTAGTAAATATCAATTTGGAAGTCCTTTAGGGGACGTTTGGTACGTGAGAATCAGTAAGAATCATATTCTCAGAAAAGTGATAGAGAGTAATATGATTCATTGAAATAATACATTACTGTGTTTGGTTTCATACATGAATCTTTTTCAAATTTTCAGGAATATTACATTACTGTGTTTAGTTGTTCGCATGGAAAAAAACCCATAATAATAATAATAATAATAAGATTATCATGATTTTGAGATTCTTAAGAATTTGAATAACACCATGTTTGGTAATTACCTTAAAATGAGGGAAAGTGAATCCCATTGTAATCACTTTCCTGAGAATCTAAAAATTATAATTCTTATACCAAATATGATAATATTACAGATTCTCATTCTCATCCTTAAGATTACTGCATACCAAATGCCCCTTGAGATTTTTGATTGATGATTGATAATTTATTCCTTTCTTTATTTCTCTATTACAAATAGCCGATATATTTTTCATTTAAAAAAAAAAACACACACACACACACAATATGTACAAAACATAATTTTATTTTATTTTTTGGGTCCGACGGGGATAGTAATGGAGAAAAGCAAGGAATCATGAACAATGAGTAAAAGTCAGCATACTAATAACACGCTACTTAAGAAACATTTCACTTCAAGAGATCCTTTAAAATATCTGAGGAAGTAACCAATCGACAATTACGTAATAAGTAAAAGTCGGCATACTAATTTTTTATTATTATTATTATCACTCATAAATTTGAAGGTCATTCTCAATTTACCTCTTAAATTTTAAAAATTTTCATTTTACTTTTTTAATTTTGTAATGTTTTCACTTAATCTTTTATATTACAATTTCTGTTAAAATTAGACAGGAAAAAAAGAAGTTAAGTATTACCACGTGATTCTAATATATATTTTTTTAGTAAAAATTCAAATAAAAATATCATGTGATTGCATTACTATCTTTTTTTATTATTTTTTAAGAAAAATTACAACAAAAAAAGGTTAATTGTGAATAATTTAAAGTTCATGAAATAAAAAAAAAGAGTTTTTAAAGTTTAGATGGTAAATTGAGAATAATTTTAAAGTTTAAGAGCGTGAATAATAATAATTTTTTTTTAATGTTTGTGAAAACTTGTAATATTAATATCTTCTCCAATGAGTTTAGTAAACCCATGTGTTTGGTCACTCGTTGTGGTAGAATCATCTTCTTGCTTTGACTTTTGACTATCGTGGTTTAATTAAATTCGTTACAAGCCTTTTTCAGTGCTTTATATGAATATGTGATGCAGTGATGGCCAAGTGAGTGCATTAAAAATTTGAATTAGTGAATTAAATAGGTCTTAAAATTTTATTTAATTTGTTAATTTAAATTTTTAATTTAAATTTAAATGTGATTTTATGTGAGAATTTTTAACTATAGTAAAAAAGTTAAATTTGGATATTTTTAAGAATCTTTAACTATAATAAAATTAAAATTAAAAACTCAAATCGGTAAAATGAAGGAGGCCTAGTGCGAATCCCACTTGTAGTATGTACCCTATACTCCTCCATCATTGATACTGTCACTGAAATGATGGCAAATCAAAGTAAAAAATTCTACGCCTAACTTAGCTTGGGGCCATCCCATGTACTCTAGGAGGATCTGCGTTTTCCTTTTATTGGAAATCAGCTGTGTCCTCACATATTGTTCAGTGATCATTTAACAATTTATTAAAATTGCGAGTGGAACAAAAAAAATCCTCACTTATACTTTCATTAACTAACAATAAAAAAGTCTAAAGTGACATCAATCCAATCCACACTCCACAGATAACATCACTTGAGAACAATGAAAATCGGCCTCTAGATGCTAGGTGAAAGACCATGACCATGATAAGTCGTCTTTTTCTACTATATTCACTTCGTTTAAGAGGGCTTTACAGAGTTGAAAACACAAGATAAGAGCTGTGGCAAAAGTAGGGGGTAGAAAATAGAAAATTGTATCGATAAAATAATTTTAATACCCTATAGTAGAATTTAAAAAAAAAAAAAAAAAAAAAAGCAATCG